GAAGTGGGATCTCGTGTTATTAAGAAAATTTTACGATGTTATATGAATGTGGCAGGCAGGGCTGGTGGAACAGGTGGGGGGGGGGGGGGGTTAAAAAAAAGCCTAAAACATGAAGGATTCTAAATTAAAAAAATAAATTGTCTTTTCCCCAGCCACCCCCCCCTCCCCAACACACACAATATTATTCGAGTTGTGCCACGGACCAAATCACCCGGAGTGCACCCGGCCGCGTCAAATCCGGCAAGCCGAGCGCGGTGCAGCGAGCGTCGCGCTTGGGATGAGGCCGGTCGACCGCCCGTGGGGGTGTGCCAGGTGCTATAGGCCGCTTGCATGTCCCGCTTTCAATCGGAAACAACAGGGGCGGCAGTGCAACAAAGTCCACCAGTTGCAACTGCTCTCTCTCGCGCGCTCGCCGCCCTCGCCAGCCGGGGAGTGGACGTGGGGCGATCGCCGGTGCACTAGTGGGTGGCTGCCGCGGGGCTGAATTCGTCGGCGGAGAGTTTAGAGTGTTGAGTTGAGTCAATTCGATTTTCAATTTCTGCATTCATGCAGTGAAATTAATTAATGCATCCATGTATGTATTAGTTTAACACGTCCTTAGGCTTTCGCGACTGATGTTATTCACGATGAAGGTTTTTGGGTTAGATCGCGTAAGTATAAATGTGCCGATTTAAAGCTTTCGTGACTGCAGGGATTCATATTGTTGGTTCTTTCGGTAAAGTCACGTAGAATGGAAATAATAAAATAATACTAAATATTTGTATAAAATAATAATAATAAATATTATTTTATTATTTCCATTCTACGTGACTTTACCGAAAGAACCAAGAAGATATAAATGTGTCGTAACCCTCCACCACCCGACACAGCCAGTAAGGTTTGTCACGTAAACGACGTGCCGATGAGTTTGCTACCTCAGCCCACCGGTGTGTTGGAGAGTAAGAATAGTCAAGCAATCCAAGAAGATATCGCCTTGCTCTATTTGAGACCGGAAACAGGTGGATTGCTTCACCATTCTGGTAAATTGCCCGATGACCCTGGCTGTAATTACCAGCGAAACGTCTTACTACTCGGATCGTAAATGTTGTGGATTTACTCTCCAACACACCGGTGGGCTAAATGAGTCACTAATTTGCGCTTTGTTGACGTGACAAACCTGACCGGCTGTTGTCAGGTGGTGGAGGGTTACGACACATTTATACTTACGCGATCTAACCCAAAAACCTTTATTATGAATGTATATGGATATATTTAGACATGCCATTGCGGTGAATCGAGGCATCGCTGCAATTAATTTTGAGCAAAACATTTTTTCTGCAAGATCGAGCATTACCGGCGCACAGCACGACGTAGGCAGATCTGACGTCGTTACACTCGCACATCGAACATTCGGATTTTTCGCGGTGGCTGATCTTCGAAAACAAATGTCGCCTCCCCCCCCCCCCCCCCGGGAAAAATACCACAGACAGACAGACAGGGATGGAGAGGCAGGCAGAGGGGGGGGGGTAGGAGATCCGTGACGACGACTCGGAGCGAGACACGATTAGCATTAATACCGGCACGGCCACATTGTGGGCCGCTACAGCCAATTACGCGCTTGCCACTCACTGCCATTCCGCCCGGGCCCTAATGTGCCCGTCTCAGTTGGGGCGTGCGTGGTGCCTTATTCCATTAGCGGAGGCAGCAATTAAAACAAAGAGGCAGTGGCGCGCGCTGGCGGACTATTTGCGCGCACGTGCGCGCATCTCCCGAGACCCGTGTGACCCTGCCATTCACGCGAGGAAATGAACGGTTGAATGAATTAATGTGTGTGTATGTGTGTACATATATATATGCAGGGAGCGGTAGTGGAGCTCGCTGCGCTATGAACCCGGCAACCCGAGTTCGATTGCTACCTAATGGCCAACACCAGTGGCGATTAACTAAAGTGGTCATGGGCCTCCCCTAGGTCGACTCAGCCTCAAAGATGTACCTGGTGTGGTTTGTAAACATCAATTCTCGACGTCAATATGTACTCCCTTGCAATCCCCAAAAATGCCATCTGAAAGAAGACCACTGGGGAGACAAAGGCGGCCGGGCATGGCGTTGGCCGTCCACCCCCTTCATAGGTGCTCGTTAACAGCACTTGCCCCAACAGCCTGTTACAGGCTATAAGGGGGATCTTTGCCTCTGTACATGCGTACGTACATTACCATTGCGTTGGGATATTTTCAACACTGACCCGCCAAAGCACTTTCTCGCCAGCTGAGAATCATGTTTTCTCGCATGGCGAGCTGAAATCTAGACAAGTTAAAATCGCCTGCTTTTGTTATCGAACTTTCACCACCGGTTCCCCAGCAAACCTCGCCTCACTACTCTCGCCTTGCGCTGAATCACACGGGTAGATCCCTACGCAGCGTCACTCAAAATCTGCTTCGGTCACCAAAGGTCTTGAACTGTTACAGCCTCACGTCGGTTCTCTGCTGTCGCCCCCTCGCTGCGGAACTCTCTATCCCTTTGCACATCCACAACATCAAATACACTCTGACTTTCAAGAAACATCTAAAGGCCTCTCTCTATCTGTTTGGGTCGGGGCTTTCGAGCAGCCCTGTTGACTCGTCTGCAAAAATCTGGTGCGTTATAAATGTCATTATAATGATCCATGTGATCAGGGTTTCGATTTAAAGCTTTCGTGACTGCAGGGATTCATTTTCTTGGCTCTTTCGGTAAAGTCACGTAGAAGGGAAATAATAAAATAATAAAAATAAAACATAATAAAATTATTCTCACGACGTTTCGGCCACAACGCAAGCAGCCGTCTTTAGGTGGAGAACAGGTCTGTCGAGAGACAGACTCTGTCTCTCGACAGACCTGTTCTCCACAGACTCAATGGCAGCTGTCCCTGTGCACATGCACGAGTTGCCAGTGCGCGGACAGGCAATGGGCCTGGTAGGAGTCACGTAAGAGACAGTGAAGGTGATCATTGGTTTTTTACCCTTTTATCTGGCAACAAAACTGACACCTTTTTTACAAGGAGTCATGTTTGTATTGACCACAATACCTGCAGTCGGAATGCAAGCAAAAAACACAACTCTGATAATGTATGCGCTTTCCTTGAAATTGATGTGCGCCTTTTGGCGTCATCTGGTCCAACACCATGTGAGACTAGGCTCTAAAGAAAGCTGCTCGGGTGTGGACCAATCAACTTCAAGGACAGTGCATACATTATCAGAGTTGTGTTTTTTGTTTGCATTCCGACTGCAGGTATTGTGGTCAATGCAAACATGACTCCTTGTTAAAAAGGTGTCAGTTTTGTTGCCAGATTAAAGGGTAAAAAAAAACAATTATCATATTTTGCTACTGGCAAAGGAGGTTCCAATGGTGAGACAGTGAAGGTATCGAGAGCCATAGCCGCTGAGTGCGTCACGATTAGGCGAGCTGACGTTGTGTATGATAATAACGATAACAACAATAATTATAATAATGTCACATTTGTCACGCATGCAGGTTTCGTTCGCTCTCGGAGAGAGAGAGAGTAGAGAATGATTCAGAGGCGTGTGAAACCACAATCAAGTGCTTGGGATGAGAGCCAGACCCAGCACTACCAACAATTGTCCAATTTCTGTGATCCTATAGTGGGATGTTTGACCAACTCCATCCATGTTTCTACACGTTGGGGGGAAAAAAAAACCGTATGACCCGGATGGGTGGATGACACTCAATCCCCATACAGATGCAATACAGATGGGAATGATCCCACTTGCTGTACTGACATCGCACCCTGGCAAGCCACTAGATATCAACCTCGACGCCCTCAGGTAGGGGAGGGAGTTTCACGAAAGCGGGCGCGTGATCCACCATCCACTCTCATCTGCCTACCACGACGCAGGATTGCAGGCGGCGCCCGCTCGGGTATTTGTAGCTGTTGTTGTTGTTATCTATATTTTTCCATTTATTTTTTAAAGGTTGCCATTATAAATCTGGGAGCCCATTGAGATGCCATAAATGATGTATGGCTTATGAATAGTGCATGGTACGTTAAGGCTTTGCGTAATTTTAACACTCGGCCCGGTGACATTTTCAGCGGTGATGGAGGCTCGGCCGGGTGAATTAAGCTCCCCTGGACTGGGGACCTTGAGGTCTTTGCTTTTTTTGTGTCCTCGTTTAGTTTTGGCCGAGCACTAACCGGCAAGCGTGCCAGTCCGTCTGCTGGGCATTTGTTCATCTGTATGTATGAAAGTTGAACTTCTTTCGCACCGTACGTAGCCAACCGAGCTAATCGGAGGTGCGGGGGAAGGACAACAAACTAAACACCAAAGGTAGTTCAAAACAAATGAGTGTTCAATCTAGATGCTTTAAAAGTCCATAGCTCCAGTGGCTTCCTAATAACGGAAGGAAGGGCGTTCCAGATGGCCGTGGAAGAGCATCTGAAAGCGCGCGATGCGATGACCGTCTTTGTTCGATGGCGAACGAAAGGGCCGCTGTACAAGGAGAGGCGAGCGATGGAATCCTGCGAATGGTCAATGCCAGGCAGGCATTGTCATGGGGCTACGGGTCAGGGTATGGAATTCAGCGTCAGGGCTACGTTGAGGTCAGGGTTTGGGGTTCACGTGAGGAGTGTGGCAGCGAAGAGATGGGCGACACCCCTGAGAGGTCGTCCGTTGAAGTCACTCTGAATGTTCCGGCCGCCGGGAGCATCAGCGGAAGGGCTGTGTGGTTGGGGATGGTTGACTCAGCCCATCATCCCTCCAGAGTCCATAAAATGTGCACCGTTTTGTTGTGAGAGGTCAACGGTGGTTGTTGCTGTGGATGTCCTGGCCCTGCCATATGAACGTGGAATTTCCACCAGTGGCTCAGGGTTGGATAAACAGGAGATGAGCACTGCTGCCACATGGCTCATTTGAGCAGAACATCACTTTGACTCTTAATGATACATTGTGTGTGTGTCTCCCTCTTTATCACCATCACCACCTCCTCTTCCTCCTCCCCCTCCCCATGCCTCGACCACCGCCCTGACACAGCCGGGGACGTCTGATCAAGACAGCGGAAGTCTCAGGATCCTCCTCATTCGCTCGGTACGTTCGCCCCACGCGAACTTCGGTCTTTGATGCCAGGTCTGTCTTCTCAACAACCTGTTCTTCACCTGAGGACGGCTGCTTGCGTTGTGGCCGAAACGTCGTGAGAATCATTTTATTATGTTTTAATTTTATTATTTTGTTATTTCCCTTCTATGTGACTTTACCGAAAGAACCAAGAAGATGAATCCCTGCAGTCACGAAAACTTTAAATCGAAAAATCTGTGTGGTGATCCACCAATCTCCTCGCTGCTGCCTCCACAGCGCTGAGTTACAGCAGCCACGCCACGTGCAGCAGCAGCAGCCGCCACTGCCGCCCTGTGTCGCGGGGGTCAACGATACAATCGAGATGGCGAAACCCCAGACTATGCTTTGATCGAACCGTGACCACCTCCTCCCCGAATCGTCGCGGTCCCCGAATCGCGACGATTTATAGAACTATACGACAGGGGATGATTGAGCGGCGTGTTCCCGTGCCGTGTGCTGCTGACACCAGTCGTGTCCACACCGCAATGCGCCACCTCTCTCTCTCTGTGCTCGGTTGTTCCCCCTCCCCCCTGCCCCCCCACTCCGACCCCCCCCCCCCCCCCCCAACAGGAAGAGGAGGGGAGACGATGACCGCCGCTCGCCGCGCTGCCATCCGGGCTCCGCCCCCCACCTCGCCCCCCACGCCTCCTCCTCCGCCTCCGCCCCCCAACGCCAACCGCACGGCGGGGGGAGACGGCGGCGGGGGGCTTCCCCGCATCCGGGACAAGTTCATGAACGAGCTGGGCAGCCTGCCCCGTGCGTGGTGCATATACAACAACATCAACACCTCCGAGACCGCCGACCGCCGTCGTCATTAACACCGTTATATATTGCCAAACTCATTTATCTAGCACGGTCATCTCAGATGTTCTTCTGCTGGCCATCTGGAACGCTGTGCCTTCCGATATTAGCAAGCCACTAGAGCTATGCACTTTTATATTGAAATTAGAAACCGATTTCTTTAGAACTGCTTTATGTATTTAGTTTGTTGTCCTTCCCTCACACAGTGCGAAATAAGTTAAACAAACATGCGCTTATCGGCATTTGTACCGCCGCCATCGTAAGGTTACGTTGCGAGCGGCACAGCAAGGTGCCGTCGCATGCCATGGCGTCATCGGGAGGGAGAGGGGAGGACCGTGCTTGTCCTTTTAGCGCTGGTTTTAAAAAAATAATTGAATTTTTTTTTATTTTTAGCACTGTTTTTTTACAACTTTTGTTTACACCATGGGGCCTGTTAAGAATCAAAGTAAAAATATAAAATTCTCCCCGATGACCAGTTTGCCAATTTGCGAATGAATAGTTACACTATCAGTCGCCGTTGAGTAACATCTCGGCGTATTTAGCAACGTTGCTGCTCTGTTGTACGATACATCCTGAAATTATTACATAGGTATCGTCGCGTTTTGATTTTGGCGAAACGCATTGATAACGTAAAAACAAACTTTTTATAAAGTTTTCTCTGGTTTTCTCCCACATGTAAACACTCATGAATTGGCCGGTAACACCTTAGTGTATAGAGGACCGCAGATCTTGGTCAATTGTTGTTGCTGACGCCAGCGGTTCATCGTGTGGCTGCTGCTGCCTTTCTTGCTCCTCGTCCGCGGTTCCTTCTCCTGGCGCCTCTGAGTCGTCCTCTCTCTCTCCAAGTCGCCTCTCTCTGAGCCGCTCTCTGTCCGAGTCGTCCTCTCTCTTTCAGAGTCATCCTCTCTCTCAGAGTCGTCCTCTCTCTGAGCCGCTCTCTCTCCGAGTCGTCCTCTCGCTCTCCGAGTCGTCCTCTCTCTCTCTCAGAGTCATCCTCTCTCTCTCAGAGTCGTCCTCTCTCTGAGCCGCTCTCTCTCTGAGCCGCTCTCTCTCCAAGTCATCCTCTCTCTCTCAGAGTCGTCCTCCCTCTCTCAGAGTCGTCCTCTCTCTCTCAGAGTCGTCCTCTCTCTCCCAAGTCGTCCTCTCTGAGCCGCTCTCTCTCTGAGTCGTCCTCTCTCTCTGTCTCCGAGTCGACCTCTCTCTCTCTGAGCCGCTCTCTCTCTCTCGCTCTCTACGAGAGCGGACGCCCTGCTACGGCAGCCTCTTAGCGCCACAAGTTGGCATCGTCATTTCATCCGAAGTACAACAGCACGGCAACGTCGCGTTCACGGCTCTGTGCGTCAGCTGGGGGGGGGGGGGATCTTGACGTACGTCATTGTGCCGCTGTCGAGTAACGGATAGGCAATATGGAGAGATTTCGATTTAAAGCTTTCGTGACTGCAGGGATTCATCTTCTTGGTTCTTTCGGTAAAGTCACGTAGAAGTAAAATAATAAAATAATAAAATTAAAACATAATAAAATAATTCTCACGACGTTTCGGCCACAACGCAAGCAGCCGTCTTCAGGTGGAGAACAGGTCTGTCGAGAAGGCAGAGTCGTGAGAATTCTTTTATTATGTTTTATTTTTATTATTTTATTATTTTCCTTCTACGTGACTTTACCGAAAGAACCAAGAAGATGAATATGGAGAATTATTTTATGATGTTTTATTTTTATTATTTTATTATTTTCCTTCTACGTGACTTTACCGAAAGAACCAAGAAGATGAGTATGGAGAGAGTTGATAAACAGAGAAATAAATAAACCAATCACCCAGCCAGCCCCCCCCACCACCGCTGTGGCTGCCGGGCCTTGCATAACTTGGCAGGGGGCGGTGGTTGGGGGGGGGGGCACCAATTTGAAAGTAATTTCACGCAGGAAATGACTACAAAGCGTTCGGCATGACACGGTCAGTTTTTTTACGTTCGCGCGAACGTTGATGGAGCTAAAAATAGAGACGTTGGGGAAAGGGCCGAGGAAGCGGGCAATACGTGGGAAAACCAAACAGCTGATACGGGTTGCCCCAACGCCCACCGCCGGAACGGAAACAAAAAGCGTGAACACGAAGAGAACAAACAACGCCTCTGTTCGTCGAGGCGACATTTGTTTTCTCTTGAAGTCCATTCGTGTGTGAAAGGCCTTGTGCCCGATGGGACGGGTAAAAAAATGCACTTTATTTTTAAATCCTTTATATTAAGTTCACTTGCTTGCGCGCTTACGACCGTGCAAATCTTTCGGTCGTTTTTTAACCCACTTCCCCTTGATCCAATCGAGCTGACATTTTGCACACAGACTCGTTGTGCGTGACAATTTATTTTCGTGAATTTTTTCCCCCAAAATTTTCCACTTTTTAGGAATTTTTTTTCATATTTAATTTAAATACCAATGTGATAAAAATGAAACTCTTACTCAAGAAAAACAGAAATGAATAATAAAATAAAACCGGTGCCACGCATATAAAGGATTTATAGTGACAAACTTTGTTTTTACGGGTTAATTTTTTCGAACGTGGAGACACGGATATGCCGCAGCGGGCGTACGTTGTGTCCGCTCACCGATGCTGGTAGCTACGTTGTCCATGACGAAGACGACGACCCGAGCGAATGACTCTGTTGAGTTGGGTAGCAGTGGCACTGCACGGCAGGAGGGAAGCACCCGTTCCAGCCAGGTACTCAAGCGGGAGCCCAGACAGACCTTGGAACTCTCCACGAAAACCGCCTGCCCACCGGCACCAGTCGATATCTCAAACTGGGACACGGCCTGGCTTCGCCTCATTAAGGAGGACGGGAGAGAACTTTAATTCTCGGACGCGAAGAGAGAGAGACAAGTTTCAAGTTTCATTGATTAGGTATGGCCCTGTGAGCCGTGCGGCTCTTAAGTCGGGTGCAACCGCAACAAACAAAATATGAACACAGAACATCTTAAAGCGACGACGCGCAACAGAAACATACTGGAATAAACCAGCAAATATTAAAAATAAACTTATTAAAACGTTGCGTGCAAACATCACAATGTGATGCAAGCCAACAACAACAATAAGACAATTTAGATTAACCATATGTTTTCGAATCACCAATAGAAAGCTAATAAAACAATGTAACAACAGTAATCATCGGAACTGTGATTTAAAATGTAACAATAAACGATACACATAACGCGTACGACAAAACCTGCAGCCATAGCTGGCAGCACGACACTCCCAGTGTATGATGTGTGAGTGAGTCAGTGCATGATGTGTGAGTGAGCCAGTGCATGATGTGTGAGTGAGCCAGTGTATGATGTGTGAGTGAGTCAGTGCATGATGTGTGAGTGAGCCAGTGTATGATGTGTGAGTGAGCCAGTGTATGATGTGTGAGTGAGCCAGTGTATGATGTGTGAGTGAGCCAGTGTATGATGTGTGAGTGAGTCAGCGGCAGCGTGAGTGTATGATGTGTGAGTCAGCGCACGATGTGTTAGTCAGCACATGATGAGTGAGTCAGCGCATGATGAGTGAGTCAGCGTATGATGAGTGAGTCAGTGTATGATGTGTGAGCGAGTCAATGGCAGCGTGAGTGAGTGTATGATGTGTGAGTTAGCGCATGATGAGTGAGTCAGTGTATGATGTGTGAGCGAGTCAGCGGCAGTGTGAGTGAGTGTATGATGTGTGAGTCAGTGTATGATGTGTGAACGAGTCAGCGGCAGCGTGAGTGAGTGTACGATGTGTGAGTCAGTGTATGATGTGTGAGTCAGTGTATGATGTGTGAGTGAGTGTATGATGTGTGAGTGAGTGTATGATGTGTGAGTCAGTGTATGATGTGTGAGCGAGTCAGCGGCAGTGTGAGTAAGCGCACGATGTGTTAGTCAGCGCACGATGAGTGAGTCAGTGTATGACGTGTGAGCGAGTCGGCGGCAGCGTGAGTGAGACGAAGGCAGTGGCGGTGGCGGCGGCGTCAGTGGCAAGAGTCAGGTGGAGCCTCATCGTGGTTATGCTGTTGCTTTCGCAGTGCCGCCCTGGGCGCTGGTGTGCGTGGCGGTGGTCGGGGTGGTGCTGCTGCTCTGCTGCTGCGCGTGCGTCTGCAAGAAGTGCTGCTGCAAGCGGCGCAAGGGCAAGAAGAGCAAGGAGAAGAAGAACGCCATCAACCTGCAGGAGGTGAAGAACCTCGGGCAGACCTACAAGGACAAGGTGGGTCCCTCCGCCGGCCACGAGGCGGTGACAGGGTCGGGAGGCTGGAGGTCGCCGCTGGGCCTCCAGACCCCGTTTCAGGAGGGTCTTGCCGAGTTGTTGAAGATTGAGGTGGGTGGAGGAGTGGGTGGGGGGGGGTACGGCATGTTGCGGCTGTGTGATCCCAATTGAGTCAATTGCAGAGACGTTTTGAGCATTGGGATGTTTTGGCCACTGTGTGGCTTTATTTAGCTACGGGGAGGAAACCGAACAGACGGAGGAAACCCGCGCAGAAGAGGGGAGAGACAACGCGCCCGGGTCGGGAATCGAACCTAGGCCCCTTCTTGCTGTGCGGCACGAGTTTCACCACCGCTCCGCCCCCCCCACACGTCCGCTTTGGTGCAAGTGTTAAATGAAATAAAATTATAAAAGTTTCTCAAAGCCAGTGCGTCCGACGTCGCGGGGGAGATTGTCGCTGTCGAGCTGGCCATTAGTGTGCCGGCGTGGTTGTCCAAACTTTAAAAATTTGACATTTACCTGCGAGTGACTCGACTGGGATCACACTTAGCAGCAGCAGCAGCAACATTGTCCCCGAATGGCATCAGACAGATGCCCGATTGCAGCCCAGGTGCCGAGTCTCCTTGTGCCACACGTGGACAGCTGCCATTGGGGGGGGGGGGGGGCGCTCCTCGAAGTGCGCTGAGATGAGATGCAAGGCGCTTATCGCGTGTGAAGCGCTGAAGGAGGGCGGCTTCTATCAACCCCAAATAATCACCACCAATCACCACCAAAGACAAAGATCCCCCGTATAGCCTGTTACAGACTGTAGGGGCAAGTGCTGTTAGCGAGCACCTATGAAGGCCGACACGGCACACGAGGGGGTGGGTGGCGAACACCACGTCCGGCCGCCTTTGTCTCCCTAGTGGCGATGTTTTTACACACCGCACCAGGTACTCATTTGAGGCTGAGTCGACCTAGGGGAGGCCCAGGACTGGTTCAGATAATCGCCACTGGTGTTGGCCGTGATCGGGAATGGAGCCCGTGTCCCCAGGTTGATAGCGCAGTGCGCTAACCGCGGCACCACCGCTCCCCAAGGCGGGCAGCCTTGTATCAACCCCGAATAACCACCACCTCTGCCGCCGCCATCGTCTGTGCTCCAGGTTCAGCCGGAAATCGACGAAGTGGACTTCAACGTGGGCCCTCCCCCCCCTGAGATCGTGCTGCAGAAGGAGGAGGAGAGACTGGGGAAGCTGCAGTTCACCCTGGACTACGACTTCCAGAGCACGCAGGTGAGAGATGCCGATGGCTTGGGGAGTGGGTAGCAATACTTACGGCGGTGATGTCGTTGACGTTGGACCGCGGTATGAACCAGAGGCATGAACGCGTGAGGGGGCGCCGCTGGGATTGCATGGGAAGGCGCGTGCGTACCTTTGTCTCAATTAAGAGCGGATTAGAGGCAACCTTTCCCTCTCCCAGTGTGACATTTCGCATAGACAACAACGGGCGAGGTGGGGCGGTAGCGGTGGGGAAGATAGTGGTGGGTGTGGCAGAAAGCAGAGTAAGTTTAGCGATTCCCCTCGATCCTACTGCCCTCCACATAACAATTGTTTATTTCTATAAGCTCTTCTCCAGTTTAGGTTATATATGCAGAGTATTTGTTGTTTTGCTGTGGGGAGGAGCGATGGGATGGTGGCGGTTGGCGGTAGCGGTGGAGCGGTGGGGCATGGCGGTGAGGCGGTTGGGGTGAGACGTGGCGATGGGCGGTAGCGTTGCGCATCTGTTCAAGTTCAAGTTCATTTATTAGGTAATAGCCCTGTGAGCCATTCGGCTCTTGAATCGGGTGCAACCGCAACAAACAAAAAACAAAAACATGAACAAAAAACATCTTAAAGTGAATATGTGACTGAGTGCAAACAGAAAATCCAAGAAAAGACAGCAAAATATTGCAGAAAAAGCACCGTAAACCAACGCTGTGTGCAGGGTGATAGTGGCACTTTGTGTATGTGTGACCTCCTGCCAGCGAGCCTTCGACGCGTCACGTGGCCTCAACGCGCACCTAGCCTGGCACAAGCACTGTGGTGACACAACTTCCACTTGGTGGCGTATGGCTGCTGTTGTGTGTGCAATGTTCACGGCCAACATCAATAACACTGGTCAACAAAAAAAAAACATTTTTTACTGGCCTGGACTTTTGCAGCTGATTTAGACTAATTTCAGGGTGCTGATTCCAAATCTGATCTCAGATTTTCTCTATCACATCTCATTTTTATGCTATCGGCATACCCCATTTTCATTGATTTTACCCGAAATTAACTCTGTCACTTATGATTGCAAGTTGTTGCGAGTCAGTGACTGCTTTAGTGTTAAAATATGGTGCTGTATTTTTAGGATAGTGTGTTTATAATATCATTTTATGTAGATATCCACATTCATTTAATATTTTTCTTTTGCAGTTTTTATTGAAAATGCAATATTTGATATCTCAAAAACCTGATGCCAGATTTGGAATCAGCACCCCAAAATTACCTTAAAACCGTTGGAATACCTTATGCCAGAAAAAGTGTGTTGACCAGTGTAATGTATCTGAAATGGTCCTGCGCCTCCCCTAGGTCAACTCAACCTCAAATAACTACCCGGTGCAGTGTGTAAAACATAGCGTTGAGCGGACAAAGGCAGCCGGGAACAGTGCCGGCCACCCAACCCCTCCCTGCGCCGTGCCGCCCTTCACAGGCACGACTAACAGCACTTGCCCCAGCAGCCCGTGCGGGTTACACGGACCGTCTTTGTTGCGTACAAAGACGGCCCGTGAGTAATGGCCTCTGTCAACTCCCGTGAGCTATCGTCCTTGAGTGCCGTGTAACGAGCGCCGTGATTGATGCAGATGGCTTCGTAAGCCACGGAGGCCGTAATTGGTGCGGTCACTTCGCTGCTTACGCTAATTGTTGCCACCCTCCCCTCCCCCCCCTCGTTTGGGAATCCGTGACTCCCGCTGCGGAGAATCCTGCGCCCGCTGTTGACGGCGACATCCACCGTCGTCGTCTTCATCATCAGCAGCAGCCATGATTTATCCACTGCTGGATGAAGGCCTCACTCCCCAAGCCAATGCCACGTCTCGTAGCGATCCATCTCTCCTGCTCCCCCTCCATAGCTCTCCCTCTTCACGTATGGTTTTTTGGTAGAGCAACGTTTAGCGATTCAGTTGTAAAGTGATGGAGCCATTCCTTTGGTTCGCCCGAAGAGTTATTATAATGGGGCGACATTTCGCGCAATGGGGAAGGATCATTATCCAAAACGTCGCCAACTTGTTATTTTTTTTTTACTTTTAAAGCCACAGTGTTGTTGACGAATATGTTGAGTTGTTTGCTTGTTGGTTGTGCTCGTGCAGCCGCTGCCCGATGCAGCCGCAGGGGCAGCAGCAGCAGCAACAGCGGCATCAGAAAATAGGGCCTGGGTTGGATTCCTGACTGGGGTGCCTTTCTGTTGTGGAGTTTGTATGTTTGTACCGTGTTCTGAATGCGTTTCCTCTGGGCTCTCTGGTTTCCTCCCCAGACGTAAACTATTTTTAATTTTAACAGGTAAGGCCCACTGAGCTATATAGCTATTGTTAAAGAAACGACTTGGCCGCTAATGATAGCTGAAAGAAATTGCTTTGCACATGGAAATCTATAGCAGCCAAATACTCTACAATGCACGTTTCTAAATGTGGAGGGAAAAACCGGCGCGGACCCGGAGAACGGAGAGAACACGCAAACTCCAAATATACAGCAAGCATCAGGGTCGGGATTGAACCAACGACCTCCTGTATACCAGGCGAGGTAGTTAACATCTGGCGTCCATCATCCCAATGCAAACAAAAATTCCCCTGCAAATCACTCACTTGGCATCACTCACAACAGCGGCAGCAGCAGCAGCAGCATCGCTCGCCCAGTGCGAAAACCAAGGCAGGGCCCTCCTGAAAAAAGGATAACGTGTGTGTGCCAATGTGTTTAGGTTACGAACCCGGCGACTCGAGTTCAATTCCCGCTCATGGCCACCAACACCGGTGACGATGATCTGAACCGGTCCTTGGCCTCCTCGCTTAGGTTGACTCAGCCTCAAATGAGTACCTGGTGTAGCGGTGCGTAAACATCGCCACTGGGGAGACTAAGGCGGTCGGGCGTGGTGCTGGCCACCCACCCCCTCGTGTACCGTGCCAGCCTTCATAGGTGCTGCTCGCTAACAGCACTTGCCCCAAAAGTCGGTTATGTCTATCGCCACTGGGGAGACTAAGGCGGTCTTGCGTGGTGCTAGGAACCCACCCCCTCGTGTACTGTGCAAGCCTTCATAGGTGCTGCTCGCTAACAGCACTTGCCCCAAAAGTCGGTTATGTCTATCGCCACTGGGGAGACTAAGGCGGTCTTGCGTGGTGCTAGGAACCCACCCCCTCGTGTACTGTGCAAGCCTTCATAGGTGCTGCTCGCTAACAGCACTTGCCCCAAAAGTCGGTTATGTCTACATGGGGGGATCTTTGTCTTTTGTGTTTCAAGTGAGGGGGGCAGGTGGGGAGCAGGTACGTTAATTGGCTTATTAAAGCGGAGGGTAATTAATCTCGCAGGTGCTGAAACACACGCGCACACACCTCGCCACCGCTGGGATAGGAGCGCATCAACGGATATAGCTCTCTGCGTTTACGTGCGTGTGTTCGTGTGATAGCGTGTGATAGCGTGTACAAGCAGCAGTATGCGTGTTCAACTTGCTGCGCGCCCCATACGTAGCCGACCGTGTTTGTCGGAGGTGAGTGAGGAGCCGGTGAGGCAGTGGTTCGCGCACTCCGCTACGAACCCAGTCACCCGGGTTACATCGCCGCTGCTCACCAACATCGGTGAACAATATCTCAACTGGTCTTGGGCCTCCCCTAGGTCGACTCAGAAGCCTTCATTGATATTCTTAGTTTTTTTTTCTCTCACTTTCGATGCAGCTATCGTGCTGTGACGGTTCCACCTGAAGACGGAAGCTTGTGTTGCCTCCGAAACGTCGTGATTTTTATTTTATTTTTATTTTACTTTAATTTTTTACCTACGTGACTTTACCGAAAAAACCTAAGAATATGAATCCTTGCAGTCACGAAAGCTTCAAATCTAGAATTAGCCTTCATTGAGCATTTGGCAAGGTGTGTAAACGGCTGGTGGGACCAAGGTGGCCGGGCGAGGTGCTGTTCACGCCATCCCAGCGTGTACCGTGCCGGCCTTCGTAGATGCTCGCCAACAGCTCTTTCCCAAACCGCCTGTGGAAGCTACATGGGGGATCTTTGTGTGGTTTTGTGTGTGTGGGGGGGAGCGGTGGTGTAGCGGTTAGCACGCCACACTACGAAACTGGTGACCCGTGGTCGATTCCTGCTCATGACCACCACCAGTGACGATTATTTGAACCGGTCCTGGGTCTCGCCTAGGTCAACTCAGCCTTAAATAAGTACCAGGTGTAGCGGTGTGTAAACATCGCCACTGGGGAGACAAACGCGGTGGTGCTGTGGTGCTGGCCACCCACCTCCTCGTGTGCCATGCCGGCCTTCATAGGTGTTCGCTAACAGCACTTTCTCCGACAGTCTGTTAAGCCTAGACGGGGGATCTTTGTCTTTGTGTCAAACAAAGTGAGTTGGTAGAGTGTGTTATGCAGGTGCTGAATCTGGCAGCCACTTCTCAATCTGGAGCGCCTGGGTCTGTTCTGTTCTTTGACCTGCTGCACTTAAGCCTTAACCACACTCAGCCACTCTGAGTGCACTTAGCCTGGCACGATCGCGCTCGTAATGTCCCTGGCACTTAGCAGTGAAAGGTGGCTATTGTTGATGTGCTGGGTTGTCTGTACATATTTTGACCATGCCTTTGTGTGTGTGTGTGGACCTGTCTGTGTTTATATGCACGCGTGAGTGTGTGTGTGTGTCCGCGTGCATGGCGAGCGGAAGCGCAGTGCTTCGTGCTCAACGCACCGCACATCGAACCCAGCAAACCGAGTTTGAGTCCTGCTCAACACCAATGGCGAATGTCTGAACCGGAGTCTGTAAACAACGAGACCAAACCGGTGTTGCAGTTCGCACATCAATCAACACCAGCCGCAGGCGCCGAGAGAGTAAACAAGCTATCTTGTTTTTAATTGGCAATGACGAAGGATAATAATAATAATAGAAGCGTGTTGGCAAGGTGACGTTTGTGACGTTTACCTGTGTTGGTATCCAGGTTGTTAAGCCATTCGGTCGCCCCTCTGCGTGCATCGTCTCGGTGACACTGCCCTCAGTGTGGGACCACGTGACCCATGCTTTGTGACTCGGTGGTGCGGGGGGCAGTGAGGGACCATGTGACCAATGCTCTGAATCGGTGCTGCGGGGCAGTGTGGGACCACGTGACCCATGCTCTGACTCGGTGGTGCGGAGGGGGCGGGCAGTGTGGGACCACGTGACCAAAGCTCTGTGAATCGGTGGTGCTGTGGGGGGTTGGCCTCCCCTTTGCCGAGCTAAACGCCAGTTGTAGTGTGTGCGTTGTGTGTTGTATGTTGTTTGTTGCGTGTGCGATGCCGCGTGCTCACTGTGTGCGCCGCGTGTTTGGGCAGCTGACGGTGGGCATTCTGCAGGCGGCCGAGCTGCCGGCGCTGGACATGGGGGGGACGTCCGACCCCTACGTGAAGATCTTCCTGCTGCCCGACAAGAAGAAGAAGTACGAGACCAGGGTGCACCGGAAGACCCTGAACCCCGTGTTCAACGAGAGCTTCTCCTTCAAGGTGCCCCGCTCCGCCACTCTCTCACGTCGTCGTCGTCATCGTCCTCATCGTCATCATCATCTTTGTCATCGTCGTCGTCGTCGTCGTCGTCGTCGTCGTCGTCGTCATCGTCGTCCTCGTCGTCCTCGTCGTCATCGTCCTCATCGTCATCATCATCTTTGTCATCGTCGTCGTCGTCGTCGTCGTCGTCGTCGTCGTCGTCATCGTCGTCCTCGTCGTCCTCGTCGTCATCGTCCTCATCGTCATCATCATCTTTGTCATCGTCGTCGTCGTCGTCGTCGTCGTCGTCGTCGTCGTCGTCGTCATCGTCGTCCTCGTCGTCATCGTCCTCATCGTCATCATCATCTTTGTCATCGTCGTCGTCGTCGTCGTCGTCATCGTCGTCCTCGTCGTCATCGTCGTCATCGTCGTCGTCATCATCGTCATCATCATCGTCGTCGTCGTCATCATCGTCATCATCACACCGTCACCTCCCACGATCCCACGATGCAGCCATCCATCTTGCACACACGCACGCTGACCAATCGTCATCATCATCGTCGTCATCATCGTCATCATCGTCGTCATCATCGTCGTCGTCGTCATCATCGTCGTCATCATCATCGTCATCATCATCATCATCGTCGTCGTCGTCATTGTTATCATCGTCGTCATCGTCATCATCATCATCGTCATCATAATCATCATCATCATCGTCGTCGTCGTCATTGTTATCATCATCGTCGTCATCCAACATCATCGTCACACCGTCACCTCCCACAATCCCACAATCCCACAATGCAGCAATCCATCCTGCAACACACGCACGCCGACCGATCGTCATCATCGCTCCGTCTCCGCCGTGGACGCGTGGCGCCCCACGGTTAATGCACCGCCACCGCGGTATTGCCCAGGGCGGCCTGCGCCGCCTTCGAACCGCGAAACCCCCTTGCCGCCACTTGGCAACGACAGCGGATCGCGACGGCTGCCGTCGTCGAACTAGTTTGTGAGTCACGTGACGCTCCCCCCCCCCTACCGCCCCCCCACCGCCACCGCCCCCCCTCGATTGTTAGGGGAGATTGTTTGGCCGGATCAACAAAACACGTTGCTCGTAATTTTTTCGGCGTCCGTGCGGAGCGGCTCGTTAGCCGCTAATTGGATGAGGTGTGACTCATTCGACGGCGACGGCGGCGGTTTGAAAGTCTGTGCGCGAGCGTGGGCGTCTGTGCGGTTTTGCGCGGCCCACGCGCGAGGGAAGCGGTGGCGCAGCGGTGAGCGCACTTTCGCTGCGGACCCGTCGACACGTGTTTCGATCCCCGCTCGCGAACAACAACGGTGGCCGGATTTGAATTGAACCGGTCCTGGGCGTCACCCCTAGGTCCACGCAGCCTTAAACGAGAACAGCCTGACGTTTTTGGGCCCATTTCGGGCTCTGCGCTCAGCAAGTGCGTTCACATGCGACGGACGGACGGAGCCGACGCATTGTCGCTTGCAACCGACGGTCGTGAAGCGTCGCAGAGAGGCACGACGCGGGCGTCACGTAGCCACTCATCTCGAGAGCGCAACGCGTCCGCTGCCACTGACCGACATCAAGGGAGCGGGGTCACGGTGGATCCCACTCGCGACGACCTCCCCCATATTCTTGGGTTTTTTCGGTAAAGTCACGTAGGTAAAAAATTTAAATTAAAAAAAGTAAAATAAAAATAAAATAAAAATCACGACGTTTCGGAGGCAACACCGAGATCTGCACCGCCAGGAAAGTCCTCGCCGACTGTTTCTCTTCACAGACGGTGGCGGCTCTGAAAAATAGGTCACCCGCTTCATTTGCAATGTAAATGCGATGTCTTCATTAATAAATAACGGCTTCAAACTGCACGGCGTTTGTGACAAAGATTCCCCCTATTTGTGCTGACACACTGTTGGGGCAAGCGCTGTTAGCGAGTAGCGCCGATGGCACGCAAAGGGCACCACGCCCGGCCGCCTTTGTCTCCCCAGTGTCGATGTTTACACACCGCACCAGGTACTCAATTGAGGCTGAGTCGACCTAGGGGAGGCCTAGGGCGGAGTGAGTGGAGGGGGAGGCAGCCGGGGTGAGGAGTGTCCTGTTTGACAGTGCAACGAAGGCGGTGTCGCGAGTGGCTGCTGCGATGATTATGAACCTCACTCCATTGGGAAACAGCAGCATCGCCCCTCGCCCTCGATGTAAACAGCAGCATTGCCCCTAACCGTCAATACAAACAGCAGCATTGCCCCTAACCGTCAATACAAACAGCAGCATTGCCCCTAACCGTCAATACAAACAGCAGCATTGCCCCTAACCGTCAAAACAAACAGCAGCATTGCCCCTAACCGTCAATACAAACAGCACCATTGCCCCTAACCGTCAAAACAAACAGCAGCATTGCCCCTAACCGTCAATACAAACAGCAGCATTGCCCCTAACCGTCAATACAAACAGCAGCATTGCCCCTAACCGTCAATACAAACAGCAGCATTGCCCCTAACCGTCAATACAAACAGCAGCATTGCCCCTAACCGTCAAAACAAACAGCAGCATTGCCCCTAACCGTCAATACAAACAGCAGCATTGCCCCTAACCGTCAAAACAAACAGCAGCATTGCCCCTAACCGTCAATACAAACAGCAGCATTGCCCCTAACCGTCAATACAAACAGCACCATTGCCCCTAACCGTCAATACAAACAGCAGCATTGCCCCTAACCGTCAATACAAACAGCAGCATTGCCCCTAACCATCAATACAAACAGCAGCATTGCCCCTAACCGTCAAAACAAACAGCAGCATTGCCCCTAACCGTCAATACAAACAGCAGCATTGCCCCTAACCGTCAAAACAAACAGCAGCATTGCCCCTAACCGTCAATACAAACAGCAGCATTGCCCCTAACCATCAATACAAACAGCAGCATTGCCCCTAACCGTCAAAACAAACAGCAGCATTGCCCCTAACCGTCAATACAAACAGCAGCATTGCCCCTAACCGTCAATACAAACAGCAGCATTGCCCCTAACCGTCAATACAAACAGCAGCATTGCCCCTAACCGTCAATACAAACAGCAGCATTGCCCCTAACCGTCAAAACAAACAGCAGCATTGCCCCTAACCGTCAATACAAACAGCAGCATTGCCCCTAACCGTCAAAACAAACAGCAGCATTGCCCCTAACCGTCAAAACAAACAGCAGCATTGCCCCTAACCGTCAATACAAACAGCAGCATTGCCCCTAACCATCAATACAAACAGCAGCATTGCCCCTAACCGTCAATACAAACAGCAGCATTGCCCCTAACCGTCAAAACAAACAGCAGCATTGCCCCTAACCATCAATACAAACAGCAGCATTGCCCCTAACCGTCAAAACAAACAGCAGCATTGCCCCTAACCGTCAATACAAACAGCAGCATTGCCCCTAACCGTCAATACAAACAGCAGCATTGCCCCTAACCGTCAATACAAACAGCAGCATTGCCCCTAACCGTCAATACAAACAGCAGCATTGCCCCTAACCGTCAAAACAAACAGCAGCATTGCCCCTAACCATCAATACAAACAGCAGCATTGCCCCTAACCGTCAAAACAAACAGCAGCATTGCCCCTAACCGTCAATACAAACAGCAGCATTGCCCCTAACCGTCAATACAAACAGCAGCATTGCCCCTAACCGTCAATACAAACAGCAGCATTGCCCCTAACCGTCAATACAAACAGCAGCATTGCCCCTAACCGTCAAAACAAACAGCAGCATTGCCCCTAACCGTCAAAACAAACAGCAGCATTGCCCCTAACCGTCAATACAAACAGCAGCATTGCCCCTAACCGTCAAAACAAACAGCAGCATTGCCCCTAACCATCAATACAAACAGCAGCATTGCCCCTAACCGTCAATACAAACAGCAGCATTGCCCCTAACCGTCAAAACAAACAGCAGCATTGCCCCTAACCATCAATACAAACAGCAGCATTGCCCCTAACCGTCAAAACAAACAGCAGCATTGCCCCTAACCGTCAATACAAACAGCAGCATTGCCCCTAACCGTCAAAACAAACAGCAGCATTGCCCCTAACCGTCAATACAAACAGCAGCATTGCCCCTAACCGTCAAAACAAACAGCAGCATTGCCCCTAACCGTCAAAACAAACAGCACCATTGCCCCTAACCGTCAATACAAACAGCAGCATTGCCCCTAACCGTCAAAACAAACAGCACCATTGCCCCTAACCATCAATACAAACAGCAGCATTGCCCCTAACCGTCAAAACAAACAGCACCATTGCCCCTAACCGTCAATACAAACAGCAGCATTGCCCCTAACCGTCAATACAAACAGCAGCATTGCCCCTAACCGTCAAAACAAACAGCAGCATTGCCCCTAACCGTCAATACAAACAGCAGCATTGCCCCTAACCATCAATACAAACAGCAGCATTGCCCCTAACCGTCAATACAAACAGCAGCATTGCCCCTAACCGTCAAAACAAACAGCAGCATTGCCCCTAACCGTCAATACAAACAGCAGCATTGCCCCTAACCGTCAATACAAACAGCACCATTGCCCCTAACCGTCAAAACAAACAGCAGCATTGCCCCTAATCGTCAATACAAACAGCAGCATTGCCCCTAACCGTCAAAACAAACAGCAGCATTGCCCCTAACCGTCAAAACAAACAGCAGCATTGCCCCTAACCGTCAATACAAACAGCAGCATTGCCCCTAACCGTCAATACAAACAGCAGCATTGCCCCTAATCGTCAATACAAACAGCAGCATTGCCCCTAACCGTCAAAACAAACAGCAGCATTGCCCCTAACCGTCAATACAAACAGCAGCATTGCCCCTAACCGTCAAAACAAACAGCACCATTGCCCCTCGCCCTCGATGCAAACCCTCTGCGCGCCGTGCCTGCGAAGCGATCCGCGGCGCGAATCCCACTGTCAACGGTTTCGGAGCAATTTGTCCGAGCCCGCTTTCCCACCGCACGGAATTTAGTTGCTTTCACGTCGAGTTCTCTCTCCGTTTCCGACCCCTCCGAGCCGAGTTCCCCGCCTGGCCAGCTGAGACGAACTCGACGCGCCGAACGCCGCGTGCCGCCCCCGCAGGTGCCCTACTCGGAGCTCGGCGGCAAGACCCTGGTCATGATGGTGTTCGACTTCGATCGCTTCTCCAAACACGACGTGATGGGCGAGGTGCGCGTGCCCATGAACACGGTGGACCTGGGCCACGTCACGGAGGAGTGGAGGGAGCTGGAGAGCGCCGACAAGGAGGAGGTGAGTCGATTCTCTACCCCTCCCCCGCCCACCCCCCCCTGCGATTCGACGTGGGATCTGTGCGCGGCGGATGAGTGGACGCAGAGAGGGAGAGAGCTGGGGAAGTGCCGACCGCGGAGGAGGAGGGCTCCGTTCTTAAGAGCCGGTCGCGTGCAACTGAATCGTTTACGTGCGGACGTCTCTGCAACCGGTTGCAGGGAGCAGTTGCACACAACCGGTCGCGGGGAGCAGTTGCGCGCAGTCGGTTGCGAGCAGCAGAGAGGGGTTCGACTCTCGAGCGTCGATCTGCTCGTAGCAGCGGCGTATGTCGTCACCGTGTGACGCGTCTACGCAACTGTGATTGGCCGTTGGTCGTTGCGATCCTGATGTGGCGGGTGGGGGAGGGGACGCGTGGAGCTAATTAGCAAGGGGGGCGGGGCTCTGCTTTAGAGGGCGTGGCCAGATGCCGTAGCCACGCCCAGACCACGCCTTGCCGCCCAACCAGAGGTCGCAAACGGGTTTTGATTCCTTACCCGTACCCGTACCCGGCCGGGTACGGGTAGCCATTCCCTACCCGTACCCGTACCCTACCCGAAATGAGTGACAAACGGCTACTCACCAGTGACTCACGGCCTACCCGTACCCGTACCCGGCCGCACCAGGGTCGCAAACGGGTACCCGTACCCGGCCGGGTACGGGTAGCCGGGTATCGGGTAGGGTACGGGTATCAGGTACCCGGTTGCAACCTCTGCGCCTGACTGCTCGCTCAGACCCGGACACAGCAGCTGCGGACGGCGATTGAGTGGCGTGCTTTTACTTGGAGGGTGATTGGCAGCGCAGCTGATTGTCCGAGCGGTGCCGCCGCGTGTCGCTCCCTCTCCCTGCGTGCGAGCAGCAAGAGAAGCTGGGCGACGTGTGCTTCTCGCTGCGCTACGTCCCCACGGCCGGCAAGCTCACCGTGGTCGTCCTCGAAGCAAAGAACCTCAAGAAGATGGACGTCGGCGGCCTCTCCGGTTTGTATTGCCCTCACAGGCCAGAGGTCAGGTGTGGTGGAGTTGGTATTCTCAGCCTGGGCCTACACGATCATTCCCTCCCTTCTCTACGCTTGCGAAACTGTGGACCCCCCCCCCTAATGGAACATCTTTGCCGGTTAGAAACATTTAGGCTGGCCTGCCTACGATCTATCCTGAGTTTAACCAGCAGGCTGGATTGTGTGAGGAGCTCACAAATCCTCGAAAGATCTGGACAAAGTCCCATCGGTGAGCACCTCTGGCAGGCAAGGCTGCGTTGGCTGGGCCATGTAGCCCGCATGCCCAGCCACCGCATGCCCAAACAGCTTTTGTTCGGCCGGATCGAGGGGGCTCAACGAAGCTGTTAAAAAAACTAAAAACATGAAAATTATTTGACATCTAAATCCCAGCTCTTTGAATAAAAAAAAACATTGGTTTATCATTCCACGAACATCACCCTGTGGCACAGCAGGTGGGAAGGTGCCACTCCCGTACTGCGCGGTTCAGAGGTCACCCGTAGGGGCCACAATATTAGCTCTGAGGTGTCTCCTTCCACGGGCCGTTCTCTACAAGCGCGTTGCGCACGAGTCCCGAGCGAGCTAGCGCCAACAGCACGACCGGGATGCTGATCTAAACTATGTTTGTATTACACCAGGGAAGGGACACTCAGCTCCGTAGCTCTTTTCCAGAAGCAAGGGACTCATCGCGTGGAAATGTATAGCTGCCAAATACTCTGAACGCGTGTTGATTCTAAATGTAGAGGGAAAAAACGGGGAAGGATCGACGCGACTACGGGGAGGGAGAACACGCAAACTACAAATATACAGCAGCAGGCGTCAGGGTCGACATCAGTCGCACGACCTCCTGCATACCAGGCGAGGCAGTTAACATCTCCTAGCCACCGTGATGATGATGAGAGAGAGAGACACGCAAATTCCAAATATACAGCAGCAGGCGTCAGGGTCGGGATCGGCCCCACGACCTCCTGCGTACCAGGCGAGGTAGCTAACATCTCCTAGCCACCGTGATGATGATGATGAGAGAGACACGCAAACTCCAAATATACAGCAGCATGCGTCAGGGTCGGGATCAGCCCCACGACCTCCTGCGTACCAGGCGAGGTAGTTAACATCTCCTAGCCACCGTGATGATGATGATGAGAGAGAGACGCAAACTCCAAATATACAGCAGCATGCGTCAGGGTCGGGATCAGCCCCACGACCTCCTGCGTACCAGGCGAGGTAGCTAACATCTCCTAGCCAACGTGATGATGATGATGAGAGAGAGACGCAAACTCCAAATATACAGCAGCTGGCGTCAGGGTCGGGATCGGCCCCACAACCACTTGCGTACCAGGCGAGGTAGCTGACATCTCGTCGCCGCGGCGCCACGGCCTCCCCTACAGATCCCTACGTGAAGATCCATCTGATGCAGAACGCCAAGAGGATGAAAAAGAAGAAGACGACCATCAAGAAGAACACGCTGAACCCCTACTACAACGAGTCGTTCAGCTTCGAGGTGCCCTTCGACCAAATACAGGTACCCTCATCACGCATATCACCGCAAGTCGCATCCCGGCGTGTGCGTTGCGTGTGTGCGTGTATGCGCCCGTGTGTATGCGGGAAGCGGTGGTGTAGCGGGTAGCGCTACGCTGCGCTACGAACCCGGCGACCCGCGTTCGATTCCCGCCCACGGCCAACACCGGTGACGATTATCTGAACTGGTCATGGGCCTCTTCCTAGGTTGACTCAGCCTCAACTTAGTACCTTGTGTGGTGTGTAAAACAACACCACTGGGGAGACAAAGGCGGCCGGGCGTGGTGTTGGCCACCCACCCCCTCGTGTGCCGTGGCGGCCTTCATAGGTGCTCGCTAGCAGCACTTGCCCCTACAGTCTGTTCAGGCTATACGGGGGATCTTTGTCTTTGTGTGAAACAAAGTGAGTTGGCAGAGTGTGTTATGCAGGTGCTGAATCTGGCAGCCACTTCTCAATCTGTAGCACTTGAGTCTGTTTTGTTCTTTGACCTACTGCACTTAAGCCTTAACCACACTCAGCCACTCTTTTGTGCGGACTACAGACCCAGTGGAGGCGAGATGTTATTTCCCTCGCCTGGTACACAGGAGGTCGTGGGTTCGACCCCTTCTCTGACGCCTGCTGAATGTTCGGAGTTTGCACGTTCTCCCCGTTGCCGTGTGGATTTTTCTCCGGGTGTTCCGGTTTTCCCCCTTCACATTTAGAGTCAACGTGCGTTTAGAGTATTTGGCTGCTATACATTTCCACGCGATAAGCCATTTCTTTGAGCTATCATTAGTGGCCAGGTCGTTTCTGAAAAAAAGAGCTATATAGTTCAGTGGGGCTTACCTGGTAAAATAACATTAGTTTAGTTTATAGTTTAGACCAGAGTTTATTTGTGACATCTTGTCAACGCCATTCGGCTTTCCAAGCTGCAGCTGCAACAGCAGCAGCATCATCATCATCATCGTCGTCATCAGGATTGAAGGCGCATTGTTGAAGGTTGAGCGCGTGGGCCCACAACGACTTTGCTGCGCGACTCCAATCAGTGGCGGCGGCGGCGGCGGTGGCTGCGGTGGTGGTGAGCGACGTTAACGAGGTCCTCCCGGTGGGATGGGGAGGTGGACGTTTTGGCGCGAGCGAGCGCCGCCGCCGCCGCCGCCGCCGCGAGGGGCCTACGCCGCTGCCGCAGCCTCCGGCCGCAAGGCTCGGCGGAGAGAAGAGCAGCCGACGGTCGATAAATGGGGACTTTTTTTTACTGATTTTTATTTTTAACAGATTTTTCTTTTTTTTGTTACCCGCAAGAGCCACGGTTTTTACAGCGGCCTCAAAAGCCCCTCGAATATTTGCCGAGGTCAAGCGGATAGAGAGAGAGACGTCGCGAGAATCCAATTTTCGGCTCCTCGAAGCCGCTAATGGGGCGGCTGTGACGGCGCGCTAACAAAGCGATTTGCGCGCTGTCTTCTCCCAAGGAATTTGCGCCGCTAATTAAACCCAGTTGCACTCAGACGAGGTGTTTAAACTATTAAAACGCGAGCCGTGCGAGCGAGAGAGAGAGAGATGTACAAACGTTTGCGTTGGGTATTTAAAGGCGAAACGAATTCCCGCGCGGGATGCTTTGATGCGGCGCGGCGTGTGTGAGACACGCGGCCGGCTGCTGGAACGGCTGTGATAACGACGGGTGAATGGGCAGACACGCACGGGGGGGGGCGTCTGTTTCATCACCGTGCTGATTTCTCACGAAACCACAAAAGGTCAGCGGAGTCGGTGACCTCATCCCGGTCAGCAAACATTTACCAAACAGAGGCCCAATAAACGGCACTCGTGATGGGTAATTTCCGACAGTCGTCGTCAACAGTGTTTGACTCACCTCCGCCATAGGAATGTGGAATGACCACCGCTGGCTCTGCAGAGCTGTAATCAGGAGATGAACACCCAATGCCTCAATGTTCATTTCAGCAGGAAAATCACTTGTTTTAGTTTTTTACACACGTGACCATATTTGTATAACTTTATTGATACAGGACACAGCAACTTTATCGCCACCACTCAATGTGTCCCAGCGTCCACCCGGTATTTTAACACCCATATTTCCCCCCCCCCGCCGCCGTGCCCCTCACCCCCCCCCCTCCCCCCCCACAGCGTGTCCAGGTGGTGATCACGGTGCTGGATTACGACAAGCTGGGCAAGAACGAGCCGATCGGCAAACTCTACGTGGGCTGCAACGCGTCCGGCGCGGGCCTGCGCCACTGGTCCGACATGCTGGCCAACCCGCGGCGCCCCATCGCCCAGTGGCACACCCTGCAGCCCCCCGACGAGGTGGACATGGCGCTGCAGAACTGAGGGCCCCACCCCCCCAGACGTCGCACCCGTACCTGGCTACAGCGTCCGGCCACCGGCTCCCTCCCGCCCCCCCCCCACCCCACATCGTAATGACCGGTCGCAGCTCGCTAACTAACGTGTCGCACGGCGAAGGAATCGCGCCGCAGCTACAAATCACCGCCGGGCAGATCGGTGCTCGAGAGTCAAGTCCGCCGTCGTTTTTTGTTGCGAGCGACCGGGTTGCGTGCAACTGCTCGCGGCAGGTTGCAGGAACGTCCACGTGCGAGCGATAACTACCGATCGCTCGTGCCTGGACTCGGCTTCTCTCTCGTTTGTTCGTTTTATCTTTTACCGATTCCCTATTGGCTGTGACTCGGCCCGAATATCTTGACGTCTACGATTCCTCCAAGCCTTGGGGAGCGATTTGGTCAGGGTGCCGCCGATCAACGTAAATCGGCGTGGTGTCAATCCCCCCTATCGATCGTCGACCCGTCAGACCCGCGTCTCGGTTACCGCCATCTCTGGCCGGCGGCGCGAGAAACGCCTCGGCCAGGCGGGCGCGGAAGAGCTCCCCTCGGGTGGAGGATGCCCCTTCCCGCCAGCAGTGGCACGGGCGAGCAGTTGCGGCGCTGCTCCCCATGCCTTCCGTCGGGGGGCGCGTTGCGTTTCGCGAGGACAATCACCGGTGGTAAATCTTGCGCTCAAACCCCGCGCCGCGACGCCGATGCGGTCGGCTCGTGCCGACGGTGTTTCACGCGGCGTCGAAAACTCCCCGTGGTGCTTGACGCGGGGCCTCGGGCGGTCCGCGTGCGTTAGCGCCTCGTGCCACCGCCGCCGTGTGAAAACGTCTGTCGGTCGGCGTCGCTGACGCCAACGACGACGGCGTGAGCCACTCACGGGCTCTCTGCCCTTCACGGATTGCGGGCGGATGTCGAATGAAATTGAGACGGAGGGCAAAACAATGTCGCGTCAGTCAAGAAGGTTGCTTGACCATACTTCACCTCGCCGCATCAATTCCGGTTGGTGGAGGGGTGGTGGTGGGGAGGGGACGACCCCCGACCGTGTCAGATTACCGCTCGCCACCGATGTTGGCCACGGCCTGCGGATCAATGAGTGATATCCGAGCCACTCCATTGCTCCTCGCGGGAAACTTCCCCTCCGCATTAAACAGTCACCTCCCTCTCGCTGGTTTCCGCTCCTCACTCAAAACTCGCTCGTTGTTCCCGAGCTCACCTCACGACCCCCTAGTCTCCCCCCTCGTGAGCACCACCGTTCCTGTTCCCTCTTCACGTTCTCATTACGTGGCTAGCACTCGTTTCCCGTTCGTTCAATCCATTCATCATCATCATCATCGTCATTTACTGTAATCCATTTCGCTTCCACCGAATTCACGCATCACAGATGCGCCCATTGCTTCCTCTCGTCTATTTTACTCGCCTCATCTCCACCATTACATTCGTACGTACCCATTCTTAATTTTCCGTAAAGCGCCTTGGTTAAGGCGCAATAGAAATTACGTTAAGATGAAGATTAGCAGCACCGCCGGTGTTGTTCCTGGGGAGCGATCCGCACTCCATCGACCGGTGCGGACGATTCACTGGTATTCACAGCCAGCAGCCGTCCGGCAAACATTGCCCAAAACCATCACCAGACAATCCTGGCAACCGCCTGGTGATGCTGGCTGTAACTGGCAGTGACACCACGTACCCAAGCCCGTTCAGCGTGTGCTGCGCAGAGGTCGCAAACGGGTTTTGATTCCTTACCCGTACCCGTACCCGGCCGTAGCAGGGTCGCAAACGGGTACCCATACCTGGCCGGGTACGGGTAGCCGGGTATCGGGTAGGGTGCGGGTATCGGGTACCCGGTTGCGACCTCTGGTGCTGCGTGGATCACTCTCCGGCAACGACGCCCCGCACTGCTGCAGTGATGGATCGGCGAGTTGGTTCATCGCGTGACGACTTTACATTTAACTCTCTCCCATTCCGAGGCGTCTGCAAGTTGCAGGGTGGGTGCGCCGCTAAATTTAGTTAAGAGAGGCGTAGCGCCGTTGTGTTTAAAGACTTTGTTACTCAACCGCAGAGAAGCTTAGCGACGCGACCACCGCTCTACGATAGCCATTGCCAATTTGTGCAGCACGCCCTCCCCCGTGGCCTTGTGGGAAGCCTCCGTTGCTATAAGTTATTTTATTTTTTTTCCTTCCGGATTCGTTTTGGTGATGTAAACAAGTACGTCATCGGAACGTGAAAGGGGTGAATTTGCCTGTGTTGGGTGGAGGAGGTTGTACAACACAATGATGAATTGTGATATTGGTCGCAAAAGCCCACGTGGTGAAGTACGGTCAACAACTCCCCTGACATCGGGCGCTGCCTGTACGTGTACACGTGTGCGTACCTGTGTCCATGTACCACATCACCCATTTATTCTCGAGCATTGTATTTCATGAATCAATATTGTCTCGGTGTGTGTGTATACGCTCGTCTAGCATAACCATTAATCGGATATCTGAATGTCATGTGGGTTCCCTGGCCCCATTCTCTTCAAATCCAGAGCTTCCCCGTGTTAGGCTCGTAGCTGGCTGCTCTCCGTACCTGCCACCCTGTGCATGTGCTGGACTAGGGAAGTTTGTGCGCACGCGCGCGTGCAAACCCGGCGTTGGTTCGAGCGTGACCGAGCCTGGAGCCTGCTGCTGATGAGACGTCGATTACACTGGTCAACAACAAAAAAATTCTGGCCTGGACTTTTGCAGCTGTTCTAGACTAAATTCAGGGTGCTGATTCGAAATCTGATCTCAGATTTGCCCTATCACATCGCATTTTTATGCTATCGGCATACCCCATTTTCATTGATTTTACCCGAAATTAACTCTGTCACTTAAGATTGCGAGTTGTTGCGAGTCAGTGACTGCTTTAGTGTTAAAATATGGTGCTGTATTTTTAGGATAGTGTGTCTATAATATCATTTTATGTAGATATCCACATTTATTTAATATTTTTCTTCTGCAGTTTTTATTGAAAATGCAATATTTGATATCTCAAAAACTTATGCCAGAAAAAGTGTGTTGACCAGTGATATCGAAATCGGTCCGGATGGAGGTGATTGCCCAAGTTGCACCAACGCTGCTGGGATTGTGTATTCCCAACAGGCCGATGGGATGTGCGGAAAAAAAGTGATATCCGTGAAGGAGGCGTCTTACCGGCGTATTTTGTCACTTATCGTCGCGCGTCTCCGCAACCGGTTGCAAGTGGTTGCTCGCAGCCGATTGCAGCAGCGACGTATTGCATCGCGCCGTGTCTTAGCGAGCCGTGATTGGTCGTTTGTTCACATCGTTGGCTTGGGGGTGGCTGACTTAACCCACGGTACGGCGAAATGCGTGCCACTTTGTAGGGAAGTCAATGGTGGTTGTACTATGGAGAGGCTCGGCCTCGCCACGGGAATGTGGAATTTCCATCACTGGCTCTGCAGGGGACGAGCGCCCGTTGGCGCAGCGGGAGAAGGTTCGCTCTGACTTGAGATATTCTGACTTGAGATATTCTGACCTCTCCTCGACCTCTCAGTAACGATCTCCCCGTCCTTTTCTTGTTTCACCGTTTCAGACTCTCTAAGAGGAAAGAGATTCATTGTTTGTTCTACTTTTTAAGTTATTGAGATTTTTGTAAAAAATGCAGTATTCCTTTTTTTATATATAAATTAACGTTTTTTTTTTTTTTTTTACAACTTACAGCGTCTTGTGCTTATTTAATTAACGAAAAACTCGGATGGCGCGCACGCCACAGGCAGACTGCGGCAAAACCCGGAGCAAGAAGGGGATTTAGACGGAAAGGTGACGCGGCCTGGAACCCGTGACGGATTCAACTCCATCGGTTAAATCCTTGGTCCGCCACGGTGGCGAGGAGATGTCATCTCCCTCGCCTGTTCGCAGGAGGTTGTGGGTCCGATCCTGGACCCTGGCGATGCCTGCTACATATCTCGATCCCGTGTGATCTTTCTCTCCCCGAGGTGGTCCCGGCGTGGATCGTTCCCCCTGGTTTTGCACCGCCCCCCCACCGACGTTGACAAACAACGCGCGTTTAGACTATTAGGCGGCCGCTCTAATTTATTCCCACGTGTGGCGGCGTTTCCACCGGCAGAGATGAGCGACCGCCGAATGCTCGTTTTGGCACTGGGGTGAGACGGCAGGCGACGGCGTTCGGGGTCGGCACCGCCGCTCCGACCGGCGTTGGCCTTTCAAAGCCGTGGTTCTAAGATCGTTTCTAAAACGTCGCAGGCCGATAATATTGCTTTGGGAAGGTCCGCAACCCTTTCGGTGTGTGGGCGGGCGGGCGGGGAGAGGCGTGGGCTTTCTTTGGAAGTGAACGTTCGTCCGTGGTGGAATCTTACAGACAGTTAATTTTAGCCCCCTTCTCCCCCAAAAGAAAAAAAGCCTGGACATGGGTGTCCACCACCACCACGTCCCGAGCGCTGTAGTCTAGCGCGCCCGCGTACCACCTGCCTGTGTAAATACTCGGTGGGTAATGGAAAAGCCATGAATGTATATTGTACGGTACTCGTGTGTTCTTATTTTGTACACTGGAATCGCGGCGGCTGGGCTGCTGGGTTGCCGGAGACGGCTTCGTGATTTATTTATTTTGAGTCGCGTCGCTTGAGTCAAATGTTGCGTCCCGAAACCCTCCTCCGCACGACACGGCGCATGTACGAGCGTTGTCACGTGGTGAACAAACGTGGACGATGTGTCACCGCTTCAGCAGCAGCAGCAGCGGTACCGGTAGTGCTCGAGAGCGATCCGCACTATTGGGTGGTCCGACGATGCTTACCGCCAGTTCTCCGCAACCGGTAGCATCAGCATCGTCAAATCGTGAATCGTAATATCGGTGGCGAGGAGCCGCTGTAGTGTGGAGACTTTGGGGAGAGGGTGGAAGCCAACCGGGGCTGAGATCTGCACAACCCAAAATCTTACACATACGGCTCTTCCCTTGTCGCTACCGGCGGCATTGTTGTTGGCTATGCTGCCACGTGACCTGTAATCCGGGCACCGTGGAGCTCGCGAGGGTTGATGGATCACGCAGCTCCCCTCCTCGACCAAGGGGAGCGTCGAGATCGCCACCTCCCGGCATGCCCAGGGGTTTGAGGGGCGAATGGCGAGTGGGATACGTTTCACTTCGAAAAGGTGGCGCGTGGAGCCTTTCGCAGGAGCAGGTTTCCCTCGGTCCGTTTTATTTATTTAGCTGTGGTGATGTCATGAGTTGAGAGACTTGAGTACTTTTAACGATTATTGAGAGAGAGAGAGATGTCTACCGGACCGTCAAGCGTGGTTCACGAGATGCCACGGCTGAAGATCCCCTTGGGAGGGCGGTTGCCGCTCTCTTTATCGTGCATTGAGAGACCCGCGAACACGGTGGGGGGGGGGGGGGGTCTCAAGCTCTTGTATAAGGCGTTCGTGTAAAGTTGCGTATTTCGAGTGTTTTGTCGCTACAGCGTTACGCTTACTTTCCCATATTTGAACACTGTAATTATCTCTCCATGCCTCAGCCTGCCCCTCTTACCACCGCCCCCTCGCCCCCACCTCCTTCCCCTCAAAAGGTTCAAAAGGTTGAGCACCACAGTCCTAAGTGCCGTAACACTTGATCGGTGACACCAGTTCACATTCAAGACCCCCCCCCCCCCCGCCCAAAGTGCTCGTGCGGTTTGAAAAACGTTCCCCCTCCTTCCTTGACTTCACCCCCGCGTGTCCGGCTCCTGCCGTTGAGATTAAATGAGCAACGGTCGGTGTTTGGGAACCGTCGCGGCGATTAAGTGGAAGATTCTACGCAGTCGGTCGGAGCGGCGATTTAGAATGGGTGGGAGTTGGAGGGGGATATGTTGGTACAAATTTGCCTTCAGTTAATGCAGTTTCATCGGAGCAGGCTGGAGGGGGATTCTGGCTTCAACCTCGATGACCACAAACAAAGAGGGAGGTTTGAGTCGCAGTGTTTGTGCGGTGACGCAGGATTGAACGTGGTCCGTCTCACGTTCTTGAGATGGGACGATGCTCTTTGTGGTAATTTCCCATGAAACGTGTCGGCTCGATTGCGGGAACCTTTCGAGCATCGTGGTGTCTGGACAGTTAAAACGAAATAATGACGTCAGGTAAACGCGTGTGATTTAGCGATCGCTTAACCTAAAGTATATATAAAATGCAGTTGTTGACGTGCGTAATAGGATTTTTGACGTGAATTTAAATTGGCAGCTTCGTGTGATCATGACGGATTGTGAGTCGTCTTGGAGGTCACATCGAGAGCAAGATAAGAGGTTTAGGGTGGCATTGAACCGTCTGCTGTCGTCTGGATATATCCTAAACAAACGTACAAGAGTGTTTTCCCTAACTTAGGCGGCTTCATAAACTTTGAAACCTACGTCGGTGCAAATTTACGTTCTGCCCTTTTGTAAACGTTGCCATCGTTCGTACCGATGTCACCATATGGCAGGTTGATTTGTGGGACAAACTTGATTTGTTCTTTTCTCCTTCAGAGTGCCAAACGTGAGTTACATTTCAGCGCGCTTCTAATGTGCATTTGTGCAAGGACCCCCCCACCCCCAGCTTTAATCATGTGACAGGTCTGCCATCTAGTGGCAAGATCTGTGGAATGTTTCGCGTGAGTTCTCCAGAGTTATTGACTTTGTTGCGTACGTCACGAACACCAGACCGACGGGTCACAGATGCGCCTCTTCGCGAAACTTCCGTCCTCGGAGTTACAATGGTGTAAACGCTTCACCCCGAGCTCTCATACTCTGATGGTGCATTGTCTTTGAGTTGTGCGCCTTTTGGCGTCATCTGGTCCAACACCGTGTGAGACTAGGCTCTAAGGAAAGCTATCTCGGGTGTGGACCAATCAACTTCAAGGACAGTGCATATATTATCAGAGTTATGTTTTTTGTTTGCATTATGGCTGCAGGTATTGTGGTCTATTCAAACATGACTCCTTGTAAAAAAGGTGTCAGTTTTGTTGCCAGATAGAAGGGTAAAAAACCAATTGTCATTATTAGAGAGGTCAACGTGAAGAGGTCATACGCAGCTAGCGCCACACCGTTGCCACGACACCTTAATGCCGCATCATTGCGAGTGTTGTTGTTTATCACAATCAGCGGGCCAGTGGCTCGCAAATCGGAAGGGTCGCGTGTTCACATGCTGGTTGAAGGGGGTTGACTCAGCTCACCATCCTTCCGTCTGGGGGTTGATTAAATTAGTATACCACTTTGCAGGGACGTCAAACTGTGGTTGGATCTCGATTTAAAGCTTTCGTGACTGCAGGGATTCATCTTCTTGGTTCTTTCGGTAAAGTCACGTAGAAGGGAAGTAATAAAATAATAAAAATAAAACATAATAAAATAATTCTCACGACGTTTCGGCCACAACGCAACAACCCACAACCTAGCTTATATATATGCTCCAAGCACGTGTGCTGTTTCATTCAGACGCTGTCTCCCCGACAGACCTGGTTTTCACCTGAGGATGGCTGCTTGCGTTGTGGCCGAAACGTCGTGAGAATGGGCAGGAAATCGCTTTTGACTTTTATTTGAGGAGTAGTGAACCTAGATTTGAAGCTTTCGTGACTGCAAGGATTCATGTTCTTAGGTTTTTTCGGTAAAGTCACGTAGGTAAAAAAATAAAATTAATAAAAGTAAAAGCGTGCTTCAGCCGCACCGAACCTCACAAAAATAATATCCAGGGCCTACCTTGGCTCCTCCCACCCTCAACCAGTATATATACAAATACTGTGTTCTTTGAATTTCTCCCACTTGATACAGCTATCGTGCTGTGACGGTTCCACCTGAAGACGGAAGCTTGTGTTGCCTCCGAAACGTCGTGATTTTTCTTTTATTTTTTCTTTTACTTTTATAAATTTTAATTTTTTACCTACGTGACTTTACCGAAAAAAAACTAAGAATATGAGTAGTGAACCCCAGAATGCAATTCATGAAAATTCCGCGTTCGCAGCTTGCGACGATCGGGTGGTGGCCGCTTTCACCAGGCGGCGGGCGGTGAGTGTGTGTGTACGTCAACGCCGCCTCGGTCGGCGTGCCACCCTGCGTGCGAATTAACGAAGGAAAGTTCTTAAGTTTTCACTTTTCCGAGTGTCGATCTCGTCGTGTGCACGCTGCGTGCGTGCCACCCTGCGTGCGTGCGTGCGTCACCGGGGCTCCCCGCGTCGGGTTTTTTCTTTTGTACGTCGGTGTGAATCGTTTGGGGTCGTTTTAGCTGCCAGTGGTTTTATTTATTAACAAAAAAAACTTTTAAATCCATGATATAGTGTTTTTTTGGGGGGATTAGATCGCGTAAATATATAAATGTGTCGTTAAACCCGCCACCACCCGACACAGCCAACTAGTAAGGTTTGTCACGTAAACAGAACGTGGCCAATTCGTCACGAGTACAGCACTAACCGGTGTGTTGGAGAGCAAAGCCACAACATTTACAATCCGAGTGAGACGTTTCGCCAGTAATCACAACTAGCTTCATCGGGCGATAGCCAGATTTACTAATTGGCTGTGTCGGGTGGTGGCGGGTTTAACGACACATAGGTACGCGATCTTACCCCCCCCCCCAAAAAAGCCTCTCTATTGTGGATGATGTTGGTGGCGAAAGCCGCCTGCTGCGTGTTAAACTTGAAAACGTGACAAGAAAACACCTCGGAGCGGTCCCCATTGATTTGGAGTGTGTACAAATATCAGTGCTGTAATATTTATATTTTTAATGTTTTATGGTGAATCGATTCTATATTGTCCATTTTAAATATGAATAAAAGCCCCCCCCCCCCCCACCACCCCCACACCTGTGTAAAGTTGCAGCAGTGTGCGAATGGCTCCATCGGTGGTGAGAGAGTTGGTGGTGGTGGTTATGGTGATGGGACCACTGCAGCTGCGAGACTCAAGAGTGGAGGAGGTCAGGAGAGTCGCGGTTCTGTGTCCCCCGACAGCTCTCCCGCCCGACATCCTCTTTCTCAGCTTCTCACGAGCCGAACAACCACAGGTTGGGCGGTGAGGGGGGTGGGGGGCTTGCCCTGCAACGCGAGGTCCGACTGTAGAGCTGTCGAATAGCTGCCCCCGCGCTTACAGAGCCAAGGCCGAACGGCCGAAACGTCGCGATCATCGGATGGCCCCTGTTCCCCCCCACCACCACCACCACGGCCTTCGAACATCTTCAACGCCCTCCTCCTGTATTAGGGCAGTGGCAGGGACAGGGTCCCAGGAGATGACTTTCATGAACGAAGCCAATTCATTTTCTCAGCCTCTTCTGTCTCTGTGCGCCTCTTCTCT